CGCGCATTTAATTTAATTATATAAATAGGTCACTTGTAGATTAGAATTCAGTCTTAATTGAACATCTACCGTATTAACATTAAGGGCAGCTAATCTGGTAACATCCCCCGGTTGGAAGAACACCCCTACAATTGCTCTCCGACCATCCGAAAGAGTGGTACCACTGCGAGAAATGTTTTAAATACAGACAATTACTTTCTTGGTATATAACTTATTCACACGTGCACTTCTAGCTAATTATTGGGCAAACATGTATTACAAAAACATATAATTTTTTTTCTCGAAGAGTTCAGGAAGATCAATGTTGCGATCATGGGGATTCTTGATTCCCAAATACTATAATTATAGCTTATGCAACAGTTATCCAGCGAGCTTACAGGGATTACAAGAGACCCAAATCTTTGGCAAAACAAGTTTGGGAGGTAGTGAGAAATGATAGTACTCCTAACGAAAAAAAGTTTTTAGATATTATTCCCGTGGTAGAATTTATTATTTTGTTAATGGAAAATTAATAGAATCTAATTACAAAATCGATCCCATTTGATATGGAAAATCGGCATAACATTTATTTTGCTACTACTTGGGCAGAAGAGAAGAGAAATCAGTTATATGGACGATTGTGTACTATTACTATAGCATACCTAGCTACTTTAGAGTATTATCTCAGCAAGGCTACATAGTTGTTAGAGGTACATGTTGGTCTGACATGTTAAAATGGTTACAGAATTCCAAATCTTATCTTATTGATAAAAAAATATAACTTTGAAAACATCATCAGAATTGCAGATTGTGAGAAATACAAAGAATATGTGATTAGAATTCCTATACTATATTCATGAAAAGGATGTTACCGTAAATTTCTCAGATTTGGGTGATAAATAGTGGATTAAGATCCCGAATGTTGTCTTAACAAGGTAATATATTATCCAGCCACAATGCATGTAGGCGCGCATATTAATATACACTTAACGAGGATGGAAAACGTGTTTATTTATGATGTACACGCGAGATAATAACCAATCACGTGAAACCGTTTTTTTATGTAATTATTCTAACAAAATTTTTCTCTTTGGAGATCGACTGTCTCTTACTTTTTATCATCATTGAAAGATGGGGACACCAAAGCAAAAGGGAAAATCAGGAGCAGCAACGAACTATATAACTCGCAATCAGGCTTTAAAGAAACTTCAAGTTACATTAGCTGATTTTCGGTATTGACCATAGACTGTCTTTTGTTTTATTCCACTTTCAAATAGACTCAATTCCGTTTTCTCTTTTAATGCACAAAGCCGCTTATGCATATTAAAAGGCATCTACCCGCGGGAACCGCGTTCGCGCAAAAAGGCCAATAACGGCAGCACCGCCCCAGCAACCTTTTACTATACGAAGGACATTCAGTATCTTCTACATGAACCAGTGTTGAAGAAGTTTAGAGAAAATAAGATTTTCTTGAAGAAACTAAGTAAAGCACTAGGGAAAGGGCAAATTAGCATCGCAAAAGGGTTAGAAGAGAGGAAACCGGTTTATAGACTGGATCATATTATTAAAGAGAGGTTTGTGTTTTTGAAATGGGAATCAGAAAAAATATGGTGCATGCAATTAGGCAATGTCGCGTCACATCGAAGAAAGAAATCACCAAATTTACACTTTCCAAACTTTTCCCCATCATTTCCATTGTCCAATTTATTCCTCGGCTTCTTGGCATACATTCAAAAGATACCCGACGTTTACCGACGCCCTCCGTGACATAGACGACGCCCTTTGCATGCTCTTCCTATTCGCAACGTTTCCCCGCACTGACAAAATTCAGATATCAACCGTCTCAAACTGTCAGCGGCTATCCGCTGAGTTTCAGCATTATGTAATACAAACGAGAAGTTTACGAAAAGTTTTCTTGTCGATTAAGGGGATCTACTATCAAGCAGAGATTAAGGGACAGACTGTTACATGGATTGTACCTTATTTGTTCAGTCAGAGGGTGGGTTGAGTGAAAGAGAGCCGTGTGAGTGCAGTGATGTCCGGATTCATGTTATAGTTTTCGTTACTTACGCTATCTTGTCTTGCAAATTCATCCCTCATTTCAGGTTCCCGACGACGTAGACTTCCGCGTGATGTTAACTTTTCTTGAATTCTACCAAACTCTCCTCGGTTTTGTCCTGTACAAACTTTACACAGATGAGAATTTAAAATATCCACCGATTATGGAGATTGATAAAGATGAAAGTGCTGCAGGGCTAGACGCATTGCTGATCGAGAGGACAAGAATTGAAGAAAAAGTAGAAGAGAGGATGAAAGATAAGACAATTGGAGATAATGAGGAGATTATTGAAAATGGACAGAACAACGAAAATGTAAGCTTAGAGATCTCAACGTTAGGGGGGAGTACAAGAATTTTGCGTGATTGGTGGTGAGGAGTGAATTGACAATAGAAGGTAGGAATGTACAAGACTCTAGGGTCCATAGAAAATAATTACGAGGCATGAAACGTCTTCGTTATATCCGTGGTATATATAAGGAAGAATTGTACTGATGCTGACACTATCTAAAATATTAACTACACAGGAACAAAAACTGGAATCTGAAGAAAGACTAAAGACTTTGCCAGAGAAATTACAAACAATTCAAAACGATGATACTCCTTCTCTCCCTCCGACTTTACCCTCAGAAGTAGAAGAAGATTTCTCTGATCCAACATCCTCTACCCCACAGATAACCTATCTTTCTCTTTCGAATTCTCTCTCCTCGTTAGCCACATTCCAAAATATCTTCTCCTCTCTAAAATTCTACCTCTCACGAGAGGTACCCAGATATTCCCTTGAATTTATGATAAAGTCATTTGGAGGTGAAGTCGGATGGGATAGCAGTGTGGGTGCGGGGTCAACTTTTGACGAGAGAGATGAGACTATTACACACCAAGTGGTGGATAGGCCAAATGTAGAAGAGAAATACGAGAATAGAGTTTATATACAGCCACAATGGGTGTACGATTGTGTTAATGCGAGGAGGTTATTGAAGGTTGGCTTGTACAGGGTCGGAAGACGGTTACCACCGCATCTGAGTCCGTTTGTAGAGAGTAAAGAGGGTGACTATTTGCCAACTATTGTACAAGAGGTAGAAAGCGAGGAAGAAGAAGAAGAAGAGGAAGAAATAGAACAGGCAGAAGAGGAAGGGGAGGAAACAGAGGAAGAAGTAAGTGTTGATATATTGTTTGGAATGTTGGATATTTATTATCTCGATGATTACCAGATAACCATAAAAATCTAAATTCTCTTATCAGTCATCATCGTTAGAGGAAGATGAATTAACGCATCAAAAAGAACTTGAAGCTGAAGCAGCAGGCATTTCCTATTCCGCTTCATCCTCCAAATCCAAGTCCATCGCGGGCACGAAACGACCTCGCGAAGACGTAAATTCTGAAGCTAAAGAGCTAGCCAAGATCATGATGAGTAAGAGACATAAGAAGCTGTACGATAAAATACAGTATGGAAAAAACCAGAGACAAGAAAAGGCGAAGCAATTAGAACGAAAGAAAGAGGAGTTAGAAAAGAAGAGTAGAAAACGTAGGGATACTAAAAAAAAGTAGATGACGAGTTGAATGCAGGTGAAATTGTGTTATTTAATGTTGAGATACTCCTCTAATTAAAATCGTATAAATATTGATCGATTTCAAATCGGACAGATTTGGACACTTGTTTGATAAAATCATAGCTGACATTCGTTTTACACTTTACTGTCTCTAAGCGTTCTATTGTCGACGTTGTTCGGATTAGTAAACGTAAGGTTATTAAGGATGATATCTGACAACCAATGGATGGAAAAGTGTAAATTATGTAATTAGATGATAGATCTCGTGATTAAAATTATAATTAATAAGTTCTTACTGACTTGCATATGTATGTCAACGGTTCCTTCTATCCTTTCTGGTAAGATGCTATAAAATATTGCCAACATCCGCTCTATTGGGAATGATTTTGGACCTAAGAGTTGTTGTCTTGGCTGAATAACAATAATAATCGGTTAATTAATAGTAATTGAGCAGAATGTAGCTAATTAACATATTAATATTATGAACAATTTACCTTCCCATTAGATTTCTCTGCTTTATTGCTTTTCCTCTTTCTCTTTGTTACTCTACCTTCATTGCTCTTTACAAAGTATCTTTGGTCTAGTCGTGGCGGATTATATGAGGCGAGGAAGGCAGCTATTAGGAGAAATTTAGTATAATAGGGCACTTCTATCCCTGCGCGTAATATTGTGACAATGAGTATGAATTTCAAGGCATAGTAGGCTTAAGATGAGATGTATCGAACGTGTACATACTTCGCGAAGTAAGCGATTGGCCATTCTGATTATTTTCGATCTCGGATGCGTGTTTTATCCATTCCGAACTCGATATGTCTCTCAGGTAGAGCTTATCCATTGCCAATTTAAAGTATTGCTGAATGTTCTTTGCCAATTTACCATGTTCGGAACGGTTCACTTATTAATAGAATAATACCGTGTAAATAAATTCATTTAAGTATGCAGATATAATGATTTGGATAAAATTCCATCATAGACAACTTTAATACTTACTAGTTCCCTCCTTGACTGGTAATAAATATATTGGAAACAGTAAACTGGCCAAATATCGTAATTCTTTCAAATCTTTACAGCTCTTATACAATGATTCATATAACAAATCAATAAACCTTCCAAAAAACTTTTGAGATTCCCCTTCAGGACAATCTTTTGTTAATATTTGCAAGACTTCACGTGCAGCAAATAGTTAAGGTTCAAATGAAGAGATGGGAGGGATAATAAACAGTTCGCTAAAAAGGATATTCTTTGTGTATTCTGGGAAAAAAAGCAAATACGGTTCATAAAGACCGATTCGAGTTCGAAATCTCTCCCAACAAAGTGATGTTATTAAAATAACACTTATATTCATTGCTGTCTGCAATACAATTGTCTTTAGTTATGTAATCTAAGACGAAGTTCAGAGTTGAAGAATTTACCAAAATAAAGCTCACCAATGCGGGCAAATTCATTAACGCTGGTAACAAAGTCGGTGACATGTCTCTTAATCTTTCGGCCCTATCCAGTATCTATTAACAATGTCGAGCCACAAACCATGCATACAGTTATATATTCATCCTGTTAATTAACATCTGAATTCCAAACAACTTACCAAATATCTAGCATTATCATCTGTCCAACATTCACGCAATCTCACGATAAATTCATTGACATCTCCACATTTGACCCAGTTACAGAAATTATTCTCAAAACTTGGCGTGATACCAGCGAATTGGTTTAGAGCGTGTTCGAAGAGCAGGCTTTCAGTATGGCATTCAACACAATTTATGAAGGCATAGTGAGTCGCAGATAGTAATTGAGTAAAGATATGCTTTATTATGGTTGTCTTTCCGAGAGAAGAATGTCCATAGACAAATATCACCGGTGGTGAGGCGTCTGTTGGCTTTAATAGTACAATACAATTAATTAACAGCTCCATATCTGACATTAATACAGCTTCGAGTACTCGGTATGCTAACCTGTCCAATAAGTTCAATAAGTGTAGATATTTGTGAGGAGCGGCCCGGATATAGGAGCGCTAGTTCTTGTGCGAAATTCATGCTACGTTGAGAGATAGAATGCACTGCTACGGGATATCGACGCGTCTTGTATGTTTGTGCCGATCATGTGATTAACATGTTAAGTCGCACTACAGAAAAAATTTCATACAAAAGATAAGTCAAACAATAATTACTTGCCATATGTATGGCAACAGAAGCATGGAATGAAGTCAAAAAAGAACTATTGTCAATTGTTGGTGCAGGACGCGCATCCTACCAAGCATTGAGGGAGATAGAACATTTGGACAAGAGCAGAACAATGTTGTCTCCCTTCGAACGAAGAAATGCGCACGTCATTGCAGTAGCTTATAGATCGCGTTTCATGTGGTAACGGTGGGAAATTGACAGCTGAAGGTGCGCTTAAAGGCCTTGTCACATTAAACTTCTAAGAGTTGTTATCTAATGTTAATATAACGAAGGACTTAATAAGCGATTAAGAGATAACCTATTTGGTTCTGCGAACTACCGGATAGTTCCAGTGAAGAAATCAAAGGCATTCCATACAAGGCTGCCGTTCAGACCTACTTGTAACGAAACGTATGGATGAGATTTTACTAAAACCCAATTTCTATCGGGACGGATCATCTTAAAAATCACGTTGTTTTGGACATCAACAACTACTACGAGAGTTTTTCGATGAGGTGAGAGGCAGTTCAATTCAGTTTGCTACAGCGTTTTCGAAGCGATGATGAATAGAATACAATCCAACTCCGAAAAAAAAAATCAGATTGTTGATTTTTGAGGAAAAACCTATGCAACACTGATAGTTTTGTTTACTTGGAAACATGCTTCTCGAAACTGCTTATTACGAGTTAGTAATCTGTACTTGTTCCCGGTAGAAGTCGAAGCAATGCACTGTCCATTGGGATCGGCGAATGGAAGGTTGCAATCCAACTCGACCAACGTTTGACAGAACAATATAAACGGCGGATAAATCTGGTAATTGAATGAACGCTTAACCATATATTGATAGCCTCTTCGTACATGACGATTATAAATCTTATCCTACACGCTGAATTTTTACATGTTGAATTAAAATAGTTTCAGCCTTGTCTGATGAATAATACCAGTCATCAAATGTTGATTTACAGAAACATAAGAGACTTTCACTGATATGTTGCGTTTTATTCTATATTTTATAATAGGTCTGATGGACATTCAGGTGAATACAATATTTTGGCATTGGGATTTAACACTTTATCAAATGATGAAAGTTTTGTAGACGGGCGGTCGGAATCAATTATGTCGAATGTCTACAATATTATCTGATTATAAAAATGTTAAAAACCTTTTTGTTGGGGTCATTAGTAAGAAACTAAAGTTTGCTTTATTCAAATAGGGAGGAAGCTGTGTTAGAGGATACCAGAATGAAGGTGTATTTATCTTGATCTGATACTTGTAAAAACCAAACGGTTATAGGTGCTATCAATGTAATCCATACTGTTTAACAGCCAGCAGTCGAGTATAATATTTGCGTTCACCAAATTAATTTCAGTAAAAAAGCGTCACAGCAACCGTTGCTTATGACAACCCAAAGCCTTTTCTGTCCTTACAGCACTGAAAGTTGTTTAATGTATACTTATCACAATAATCGCGAGTTGAAAAGTTAGGAGTTGAGACTCTTTCTGCACACATGATCATTATAGCACAGCCCACATTATCAACATATGCGCTTGCGCTTTACAATTTGGACTCGAAACCGATTCTCGATCCCGTCCTCGTATAGATCTATGGAAGGTTGTGGAACAAATATACGAACAAGCATCATTAAAAGATTTCGGACAGACATTAGTGTGCAGTATTATAGAAACAAATCCAATAACTAGAAGCCAGTTTCGTTTGCTATTTGCTGATTGTAAACTTTTTCGATAGAGTATTTGTTTATTAAAAAATGGATCATTTCTGACATTTTCTACATTCTTGCCCCACAGGCGCGCAACCATTTCAATTAAAGTATTCTTCTCGATATAATTATTATAATAATAGGTGAACTTAGTGGCTACTATTAACATATCAAGTATCAACCGCAGATGTCTGCTTTCTATTTAGATAATATATTCGGAATGCGTTAATGCATAAGAATGACAACAACGCATATATCTTTAAGTGAGGAAGCGATTGAGTGTCAAATATGGAACAATGACACGAGGATATGATTCTTAGGTTTAAGGTCGCTGGGAATGAACAACGAGAGGTTGGTTATATCCTTTGTTCTGCATGCACAAATTAATGGATATGGTATTCACTCACGGGGATGCAAGCACTACTGCTCTGTGCTTTTGCTCGAAAAGATATTTCTAAATGCGGGGACGACGTGTATTATATTAAGTTGACTGTATACACCCTATTATTTGCTACATCGTAAAGTCGTAATTCACACCTACTATTGTGAATATTTAACTCTTCTCACTTCCGACTTTGAAGACAATTGTTTTCATTTCCTCCCTCGCACAACACTCGGTCGGCGTCCTTCCCTTATTATCTTTAATTTCCAATAATGATCTATCTCTTTTCACTAGCATTACTGCTATGTCTGTGTATCCCTTTTCGCATGCTTTGTGGAGAGGTGTTTGGCCATCAATATCCTGCAAGCGACAATTGGCCCCGTTAATGAGGAGTAAGGACGTTAGCGACTGGTTGTTAGTGATGATTGCGCGATGGAGTGGCTGTGGATTGAAGATGAAATGGTATTGTAAATAAGAACTTCATGATTGTGGTAATCGGGAACATAAATTCTACTTATTAGCGTCATAGACATCCAACAAGATCCTCTTGTATAGAAACACCATTAGTTGAATACTAGATTGTTAATCTTATACTTACAGTCGATAACAATTCTGGAGTTGTCGCGTTAACATCGGCGTCGTGCGAGAGTAGTATTCGACATATCTCCAAGTGGTTATTACGTGTAGCGTAGTGCTGTTTAATTTAGCGTCTGTAAGACATAGAAGATGGGAATGGGATATACACTAAACTCCTAAAAAGTACCCGACCAAGTTGTAAAATTGCATCTTATTAATAATTTTCAAATATCAACACTCAGGGGATTACCCGCGCGTTTCAATTCTATTTGAATCATCTTAGGTTAGACTACATAAAAGTTTCAGATGTAAATTTCTTTTCAAGTTTGCAAAAAGTTTAAAACGGTGTCTAACCTTCGTTCGAGATTGAGAATGCCGATTAGGAAACACCTTAATTCTTTTCTGGGCAATCTATTCTTTCCTGTGAGATGTCAACATCCTGCTTCGGATGCTAATTTCCTACTTTGAAAAGCGTAACTATGTGTATTTTGTGCATTGCCCCTTTAGAAGAAATTATAATCGCTAATTAATATTAATATATAGAATCTTAGAAAAAAGCTCGGTCGGATACTTTTGGAGGATATCAATAAATTAAGATTGTTCGATAATCAGCTCATCCATCTCTTACCAACGGAGTATATCCGGTGCTGTCCCGCTCATTAACAACATGACTCCCCTTCTTAACTATTATATTTCGTACTTTTTCGGCTGCTCCCTCGATGCATGCGTTGTGTATTGATCGCATGAAATCTAGCTCGTCGAGTGTCTGTGTGTATGGTGAATTGCTTTGATGGTGGTGGTCGTGAGCCATTATTATTGATGAAACCGTTGAAGCAGGGGAAGGGAGTGAATTGTGAGAGACTTAAATAAGCTAGACAAACAAAAAACCGGATAGGGGTCAAAGTTGTTGACATGTGCCACAACTTTATAATGGAAACATATATGGTGATCACAACTCATTGGTTGCAGTTGTAATGAGAAATCAAAACGAGGTAACATGATGGAATTAGGTGAATTAATGTCTCTGGATTGCGGTTGTATTGACAAGGTATTGTCTTTGTCTTCGTCAAGTCATAGGAGAAAACAATAGCTGCACAATAATTAATGTGTAAAATTAGTAATGATCAGTCTGTCGTTTCTAGTATAAAATAGTCACCCCCAAGGAACAAGAGGTTTCACACCTTCTGGTGTTTCAAGTCCAACCCATCCATGGACTGATATTGTTTTTAGATATTGCTACATAAATATGTACGAAATTAATGAAATAAGCAAAAGTGCTTTTACGTTTTAAGAAATGCAATTTATACAACAATTTGCGTTTTGAAGTATCTCTCAACGCTCACGAATTTGATCCGTCAGTAGAATTGAATTAAAATAACTGTTCACAATCATCATCTTTCAGCCATTTTGCACCATGGTGAATGATGTGGTTTGCTAGTTTGTTCGACACGTTTCAGATGTAAATAACTGAGACGACCGAAAGAAATCGGTTGCGGTCAGCATTTTCGGATACCTAGGAGCTTATTAATAACGGAACAAATATAAACGAGAATATGTGATGGCTAGCAACAAAATCGGACAAAGATGAAGATGGATGGAATCGCTAACGCAACACGAACATTGATATCTTACTCTCCCCTATAAATATGTCAATGTTCTTCACCACAATTGTCTTCAGTTTACTATCCCAGAACTATGTATTGTATAGGCTATGTCTTTAATTCCTTCTTGTGGCTGTGGTATTAGTGATTCTTGACTGTTACTATATCCCTATAAATTACTTGGATGGAATTTGATGCACTAGAAGCTGAATTTACGGCATGACCAGTAGTAGTTTAAAGAAGAAATGCCTGGACAGAAAACAAAACCACTATATATAGAATGCTACCATTATATTAGTATTAGTATTCATTATAAATGGTGTTATGTGAGCAAATAAAATGTTTAAAAGGACGTTAAATTTATGGGTTCTCCTTTCTTGGAATCCATAATACCAATGCTATTGCCATTATAAAACTGCTGGAATGAGTGTAGAGAGATATATTTATCGAATTTCTTATTCTCTCTTTCCAAAGTCATATACAGTTTAGCTGGTCAGTATTTCTTGTTAATTAATGATTTGAATTATTATTACTATTATATATTAACAAATAGAAATCTTCATCTTCATATAAATATTAGCTACCTCTTGCATATTTTTCATTACCACCATGGCAAGGCTAATTTACCTAGCTTCAATATTATTGTCGAGTTGACTGTTTGTTTGCAAAGTAGCTGTACTATTTACTCTATTTACTTGTATACTTATAACACTAAATATCAAAGAACTTGAAATATTTTCTGCCGTTCGATATTAAAGCTTTAGGAAAGAAGTATTATTATTATACGCAGCAGATACAATTTTGATGTTACACTAAATCTTGAGTGTGCGACTTGAGTTCTAAACAACGAGTGTTCTTTAAAGTGAACTTTATTCTCTGTCCCAGTCGTTAGATGAGTGAAAGTTTCGTTAACATAACGAGCGAAGAAAAGTGTATATATCCGGCTAATACACATATTAAGGAGGTAATAAAGAAAAGGCTAGATTAAAGTTTGTCTTTGGAATAACAAACGCAAGCAAACATGAAACGCTAGCTCGTGCGGGTTGGGAGAGAGGAGAGAAAAGCCCAATACTCCGAGACCGCAGCAGAGGGCGCCTTGGCATTGTGGAATAAAAAGGTGAAAACCTGCCCAAAACGCTATCGGTTATATATTGCTGATGACGCCACCAGTTAATATATTGTTCGCAATAATAATAATAATAATAACTAATTAAAAAATTTTATATTGTGTATGTTGTATAATCACATTATCACACATATATTATAAATCTATTGTTTATGTCACTTTCATACTTTGTCACATTTATGTTAATATGTGTTGTACATTATTATTTCACTTGCTGTCCAATGGCAAAGAGACAGCACATAGTAGTTTATCTGCAAAATCTTTCAATCAGGAACAAGTATTAATTGGTGATTAATTAATGATTCACGGGGCACATGACCCCGATTACACTGAACACAACAACAAAGTACAAAGACAATAAAATAGCAACTAAGATGAGTATGTATAAAATGATAGTTAGTATAGCGCAGATCTTGTAATATATGGTATCGAATATAGACGATGCTCCTCTACACCGCCGTATATACAGATAGATATACGCCAGATGCCTTTTATTTATGTGTCGTTCATAGACAATTATACAGACAAATATACAACCTTTAATTAAAGCTCATTCCGCACTTTTTTGCATGACACCTTATTTCTTACTACGCATGCTGCAGTGTGCTAATCCCACAATACAACAGTTCCACCCATTGGGCTTGTATTACGCACGAGTAATAGAATAACACAGTAGAAATAGTGAATATAGTGAGCATAGTGTATTTTGAATGGGTAACTGTTATAGTCAATATAAATGCTGAGCGAATGCTGAAATAATAGATAGTAGATAATAGATAAATATGTGATACATGACAAAGTATTTATACTACATTATAAAATATCGATTGTATCTCATGTATATTGTTTATCATTGTTTATCTATTTATCCACTTTGTATATTTTCATTTACTATGTCGTATCAATTGCCATACAAACGTTCTCAATCGAAGTTCGACCGTGTTCCATAACTGTCTCTACTTGGCAATCAATTCTTTGTCGTACATCTCCCCCCTGCACATATAAATACGTGCCGACTTTTCTCCTCCCGCCCATCTTCCGATTCATAATGAAACTGTATAATAAAATAAGTAGAAAATAAGCTGACATCAATAAAGCTATCGAATATTTGTTACATCCAGTGTCACGTACGTACCAATAATAATAAATACTTCAACTGGAGCATTCGCTAGATTATCTCCAGCTGAGTTGCTGTGATTGGACACTTCAATTATGACGTCATCATTCGTCACCCATCATACAATCTGCTTCGACATAAACATCAACTAGGATAAAATACTTGAAAAAAAAACAACAAACAAGCGCGTCTATTAAATAGAGGGGGGAAAAAGAGCAGTGTAAGTGAGTGTGTGAGCCGCTGTGCCAAAAAAGACACTGTCTGAATATCTCGGGAAAATGATTGTAGCTTACGAAACAGCCTCAGTCGATCTGCTCGATCCGCCTAGAATTCATACTTTACAAACAACATACTCTATAATTCCACTACTAACCACACACTTTAACTCCTCACTATTCAGCAATCATCACAGACATTCAACTACGACATACACAACCCACTTCCGCCCTATACAGAAGAGCAGGCTCCTCTTTCTCTCTCTTTTCACAAAGAACCATGACGTCAATATCATCATACTATGGTTTAACTCCAGAGAATCCAGGAAATTTTGTTGATCCAGACCTTGAAAAGACTCTGTTAAAGCGTATACGAGAATTATTAGGTTGGCGATCGGAAAGGTTGGTACAACGTTATAATGGTGAAGGATCTGTGGTTGGGAGTTTAAGCGGTGTGAATAGATCAGATCAACATCGACAACGTTAAAAAACGATTATAATGGTAACGAGTCTAACCAACATAATCGCTCTTATCTTGAACCCAACGGATTTCCACCGCAACTCCTCGGTCGAAAGTGGTTAACATGCACTCCCAAAACTTACTCTCGTTCTCTCCAAATAAATTTCCCCTACACTTTATTATATACCCCTTTCACTTACCCCTCTTCAAAGTTTTCCCGGAAGCCAACCAGTCAGCTTCGAAGCGTCACATTTCAGCTATCTAGAAAACGAAGATTATTTTGTATGCGAGAAAAGCGATGGTGTACGATATATAATGTTTACTACCTTTAATCACAAAGGACCCAATACATTTGTGGTAGGTTTGAGTGTAGAAAATCATTGAAGTGAGAGTGATGATGGTGTGGGTCTCTGTCAACTGGGAAATAGTGAGACTTGTTTCTTCAGAGAAAACTTGGGATAGAACGTTTTGTCCCACGTAGCTTTTTATATGCGTTTTTTTTTGAACGCGATAATTTCGTACTATTATTTACCATGTTACAATGATTTATCGTCTCGTTTCTGGCAAAAGGTCTAACTTCTTCAATCTTTGCGTTCTCTCCGTAGCTCGATCGAAAAAACCGAATTCGTAGCATTACAAACTTGAAATTACCTTGCAAAGAGCATGGTAAATATCACAATGAAACCATGATGGATGGGGAACTGGTGTTAGATATTGATGGGGATAAGGTAGTGAGGTATTTTTTGTTTTGGTTTTGGTTCTGGGAATGAGTGTAATTTACGGATGGTTAGGAAGAACAAAAAATATGGGGGCGTTAGAAGATTATGTAGCAACTTGTTGAGATTGAACTATAATAATAGCAGACCGTTTCATGCACCATTACTTGGCATGTTTCTTACTCAAACACTTTTTCAGAAAAAACTCCGGTTTTTAGTGTTTGATTTAATGGTCATCAACGGCGTCTCTGTAACAAACAAACCTTATAGCAACCGATTAGGAGTAAGTATAAGCTTTTGCTTGTTTATTTTCGTCATCGATGATAATATGCGGTTTCGATGATATTTGTCTTGATACTATACTATGCTGAAATTCCAGGTGTTTCAACAAGATGTGCGAGGTCCTCTTGCAAAGATGTTAGAAGATCGAGAACTGGCAAGGATACAACCATTCACGTAAGCATCCGATGTCTATAGTATATTAGATGACTTTATATGCTTGCCATTTATTATCTCCTTTCCGTTTGCATTGCTGCTCATTATAACCTCGTACTAATTCTACTTTATTTTGGATCGTCCTATTCTCCATTCTCCATCCCTTTCACCTTTTACTTTACCTTTTCACCTTTTCCTTCCTTCTCTTTCCATATCCCGCTTTTAATTTTCTTTCTCTACCTCAGAGTAGAATTAAAAGAACTGCAACTTTCATATGGCTTGAATCGTGTCTTTGACCAAATACCGCACCTTAAACATGGAAATGATGGACTGATATTCACCCCTGTAAAACCTCCCTATGTCTGTGGGACGTGCGAGAATATATTAAAATGGAAACCGTCTAATAAAAATACAGTTGATTTCAAAATACAAGTAAATTGGAATAAAGATAGGAAACCAGGTTACCGATTGATGATATCTGATTCAGGCATACATAAAGCTGAGGATCATTTGACACTCGATTCAGAATTGGCTGAGAAGTATGTATTCCCTGGATGTCATGCTTTAATAGTAAGAGGAGAACATATGAGGGAAATAAGCGAGACTTTTTCAAGACTATGTGCTAACATTATTCTTTTTAAGATGGAAAATGGACCCTCCAAATGGTCGCATAGCCGAGTTCTGGTGGGATCCTGACTGGACGACAGTTATCGTTGATGAAGGCTACGCACCTCTTAAGCGCGCCGGGGGATGGAGGTTTGTACATCAAAATTTCCCCGTATTTCAACACTATCCGTGGTTTTACTCATATCCAATTTGCTCATTCAGATTTTTAAGATTTCGCGATGATAAAGACACAGCTAACGACAAAACGGTTTTGAAGAAAATATGGAACAGTATTAGCGATGGTGTTACGCGAGAGATGGTATGTATAATGATAAGATTTATTGAAGTGTAATTCGGGTCATTAACATAATACCTCATTATAGCTCCAGAGGAACTGCGAGAACATAAGATGTAAATGGAAAGAACGGGATCGGCTGCTGAAACAAACACCAAAACTTAGTATCTCTCATTCCACAGTCAACACATCATATGGAACAATGTCATCTACTGGAAGGTAATTAATGCTCGAATACATTGCATTGAATTTTACTCATCAGATTGCTCACATTACTTTTCTCCAACCCTTCTGTTCACAGTCGTCCTCAAGATATCGTCCAACCACCAACACCATCTATCGCTCAATCAACGCAATCTCCATTTCTTATTTCCCCACCTGCACTAGGCAGCCATTCTCGCGAGTCAACTTACTTCGATCGAGCACCGTCATTATTAAAAGACCATTCTACTGAAGCTCGACGACGAAGAGAATCCTGGAGTGATAATCGATTATCTATGGATACGCGAGAAGTCAAAAGGCGAAGGGAAAGCACAGGTGATTTCCGTAGAGATGAATACGCAAAAGATTGGGCGAAGGATTCGGAAAGACGGCTGTCGAGTGGTGATGGCGATAGCATCTCTGAAATCCCAGAAAAGACAGAGGCAAGAGAAAAACCAACTTCATTAATGCTGTCAAAATTAGTAAAAGAAGAAAATTCATCTATGCTCTTACCGCACGATGTATTTTCACCTACACGAGACCATTATCAACACGCACGAGTTGATTTCAAAGACCAACTTAAAGAAGAGAGGAGCAAGCATCCTCAAGACCACGGAAGTCCCGTGGTTAGGGCCGAGCTTAATCCTAGATATAATTCACAAGTATCGGGCCGAGAAGCGCAGAGACAATCCCCACCCGCGCAAGCACAAAGTCAGCATTCGCATCCGACCTCACCTGCGCAATCACAAACGCAGTACTCGCGTCCAACCTCACCCGAGCAGTCGCAAATGCAGCACTCGCATCCGACTTCACCCCTTAAATCACAAATTCAACGTTCGCAGCCAACATCACCAGTCAAGTCACCAGTCAAATCACCAGTCAAATCACCAGTCAAATCACAAATTCAACATTCGCATCCAACCTCTCCAGCACAATCGCAAATTCAACATTCTGACCCAACCTCTCCAGCATCACAAATTTTACGTTCTCATCCAACCTCTCCAGAACAATCACTAGTTCAACATTCTCATCCAACCTCACCTGCGCAATCACAAACGCAACACTCGCATCCAACCTCCCCCGCCAAATCACAAATTCAACATTCGCGTCCAACATCACCTGCCAAATCGAGTCCAACGTCACCTGTGCAGTCACAAATACAGCGCTCGCGCCCAACGTCACCTGCGCAGTCGCAAACGCAACACTCGCGTTCAACTTCACCCGCACCATTAACCGAGCGACCTTCCCATTCTCGCCGTTCGACGATAGAGTCAATTTTGCTACATCCCGAATCGCTACCCAATGAATCTGAAAAGGCTATCCAAGCTGATTCCGGGAAATTTCCTGTTGGTCGAGGTGAAGGATGTAATGTTATGGGCGCTCCAACACCTATATCTGGTTCTCTTACAACGTCTACAGGCATAAAAACTCAAAACATACAACAACAGCAACAGCAACAACAACAGCCAGCACCATTACCACAAAAGCAACAACAACAGCCAGCACCATTACCACAACAGCAACAACAACAGCCAGCACCATTACCACAACAGCAACAACAACAAGTACAGCCACAACTACTACAACAACAGCCACCGCCAGCGCCATTACCACAACAGCCACCACCAGCACCATTACTACAACAACAGCAACACATACAACAACAGCAACACATACAACAACAGCAACACATACAACAACAACAACAACACATACAACAACAACACATACAAGTAACTCCACCACTTCAGTCTCCAGTTCTTCGATCACCTATAGTTGCGTCTCCAACGCCGCTTTCGTATGAACAGCGAATGCCGCAACTTTATGCACGTCCGAACGAACATGAAGATTATCTTCGCTCGGGTACACATATTTTTGTTAACTACGAGAACAATAACGGTCAAAATCAAGTGCGTGATGTAAATTCGAGTGCTATGAGAAGAAGTTTAAGCGGTAGTGCAACTGCAGGACCACTGGCAAGCATGAGCTCGAGCTCAAGCGCAGTTTCGACTTCACCTCCTGTTATTCTTCCATTCTCTCAATCCTCCGATTATCAAACTACCGTTCCTCGACATTCCTCCTATCCTCCATCCTATCCTCCATCCTATCCTCCATCCTACTCTTATCCTCCCTATTCTCGTCCGCCTATTTCGCATCTGCCCAATCCTTCCAACACGCCTCAAAGTACTGCACACTCACCGAACTCATTTTATCCACAGCATACCGATTCTAACTCTCAACAAGCGTCGAGTAGTACGCATAATCGGCCTTTCGTGGCAAAGAGAAGGTCTAAGGCAACGTTGGATTTTATTCTCAATGATCCGGAAGAGAGTGAATACAAGAAGTCGAGGGTTTAGCGGCGGGAAAGGAGAGTTAGAAGCTCGTTTCTAAGAGTGAAATGGGGAAGGGACAAAATTAAATATGAAATAATGGTCGATAATTTTTGGTAATACATTCACTCAGTCATATTAAATCTTTGTATGAGCTTATTCATTATCAATTCCAATGTATTTTTTATACATAGTCTTTTGTGGTGTTTTTTTTCTTTTCACAATTGTACAGATTCGTTGTTTAAAATTTTTGACTTTCTTTGTAGGTACTTTTTTTCTCAATACATTTGTTATTTTTCTTTCGATTAAAAGATGTTTCTATTTGCGGCAATGTATATAAACAATTTTTGCATGGGTTGTGAATCTGAAACGTGATAGTTTATTTTTTGGATTGATCGTGTGTGCGAGGTTTACGATTTAGTGGATTTCACACGTAAGGCAATTTTTCTTCGTATTATCGGGTTTTCGGATTGGCGGGAGTTCCACATAATATTTATCCTGAATAAAACCTTTATTTGTCATATCGGATTGGGAATACTATGTTGGCTTGAAAGTAAATTTCACAAACTATGTAAAAATTTCGAAGTGATATTAGCAAGTCGAGGTTTAATAACGAATTCGATTCAACGAGATATTTTTAGTGTACACACAATCACTTGTTCGTTCTCAACAGAAAACGCTACTCCTTTCGACATCGTGAAAGGCTTTATTTTACAATTAAGATTGCAGGCTAATGTTGTTCTCCTTAGTCGCTCTCTCGACAAACTCAGTCGTAACTGGCAACTTATCGCCGGCCAATCTCAAAGCTTCCTTGGCAACTTCCTTTCTGATTCCACCCCCGCCAATTTCGAATACAATTTTATCCTTTGGTACCCTACAAGCCCAGTATTCAAATGCTCCTTTTCCTTTTCCCATTCTAGATTCATTTCCTTTACTAGTCACTGGTATGTCTGGAAATACTCTCATCCATAATCGAGATCCCTTGACTGATTTTATCTTGCGGCGAATAGCCCAATGGGCAGCGGTGAGCTGTTGAGAGGAGAGACGAACACCATCCTTTACACGGAGACCATAGTCACCAAAGACGATGGTTGTACCTTTCGTGGAACCACCAATGCGAATTGGAACCCGCCCCTTATGAGCTTTACGACGAGTTACATTCCTCGGCGCGAATTCGGCGCGATAACGACGTTGTATTTGGATAAATGATAGGTGATAGGCAGGGGATGGAGGTAAACAGAAATGAGATAAAAGAGACGGTATTGGTAGTGATGAACGAAGTTCTGTATTTATATGTCTCAAGAGAGATGACCTTGTGGAAGATAGCATTATGTCAGACAAAAGAAGGCGATAAACGATTTTTTTGGTATTCACGATCAAGCAATTTTACGATCCCGTGACTTTGGATCCGCTCTTTATAATTTCTGTGAAATAATATTAATATTTTATTATTTCAACGCGAACGAGGCCGAATAGTTATTCGATTAAGTTCTATGTGCAATGTAATTTAAAAATATATGCATATGATTGGAAGCAAATATTATTGGAACTTCGCAGAACAGAATGCCACTTAGAAGTTTATTCTTGATATTTCTGCGTGAGATATGTATACAACGCCATACTGGCCAAAAGATTGGATCACATAATGAATTCGCGCGAGATTAATATTCTGTAGGTAGCACTGACTCTGCGTGGTATACTGTTTACCAATTCTCTAAACCACTGATTATGATGGGAATTTTTTAGCCACTCTGCCTTTAGAACATCACTCAATTCCCGCATGAGGGTTTACGCTTGTTATGTACTCAATTTAATTATGTACAGGCCATGGAAGAGAGACAATCTTTACATACAGACTTTGCCCTATGTACAGGTGCATTATCATCTTGAAAAGTGTTCTTTTAACAGCATTCCATACGTATTTATTCATCAACAACTATTAAAGGACAAGTCTCTTTTTCGTAAAACATTCCTAAGCCATAACGCCGTTGTTACCACCTTTTACATGCAACCTATATCATATCATTCATGAGGTTTACATGATTAACTCTTGGGATTTTATTAATGCGACTTGGCAAAATTTTATTCGACCATCGTCGTGTGACCACAGTATGAAGAATGTTGCAAATATGCGAAGATTCAAAACTAGTTATTTATTTATCATGACCCAGCATTACTGCGTGTCATGCAAAGCTTGTGTCACATACCAATATCAGTGGCGCAGCGATGACGCAGACGAATCGGCCAATGTCAATGCGTATGCAAACTATTGTCATCTGGTTTTGTCCGATGTTTGGGGATTTTTGCGGCTTTCGATACGATTTGCACGTGATATTCGCAAATGTTCAAGTCGTTTTCGTCGTGCATTTTGTTAAACCTTATCATACGATTCCTATTCACTCTCTCAACAGAAATTATCAAAGTATCAGAGAGATGCTCATAAATTTGGTTCATTCACCTAATAATAATAACAGATAAGCTGTCATGTGTAATTTGGTTGACACCTGATCACGATTCAACGACTCTTACCAATCACGCTTATTAACCTACACGTGAGGCTGATCATTGCCAAAAATGCAGCCCTAACTCCGGAGAATGTCAATGCAAGCGATCAAAGAGAACGTCAAAGAACCATCCTGCTGAGTGAACGTCGACTACGAACGGGAGCAAGAATAGTTTAGTAAGTATATACACCATCTGATACTCAAGTTGACGAACAATAAAGGCAATTTTATCTAAGGAGGAGTGAAGAAAAGTTTATTAGAGTAAGTATAGCTGTTTAATATTCTCATATTCGTAGATATTAGCGTGAATATCTGAATTGCTACATCCGATCCATCTGAAAATCACTTACACACGTTCACCTGTGACTCAACTACGCCAACACGGAAATCAATCACGTCACTACATGCATAACATCAAATACATAAACTTGTCATGTTTCTTTCCTTTTTCTTTCGCCAATTCGTAATTACTCAGCTTTACTTTATTTTTTATCGACGTTCTCTCTTCCTAATTTTAACCTCTAAACAAAACACCCTACTACCTAATCACTACCTCTCGTACGCTCACGCTTGATATAATATTCACGAATCACGGTCGCCCACTGGATTACTCTGTTCTTCCGTTATCAAAAGTAGGGCGACTTTGTCATTTCACCTTGCGTTGAATACACTTCTGTCCTTCAACAACGGTGAAATAACAGGTCCATACATTTATTAGACAGACTGCGTGCGCGGCTTTTCTTCGCTCACATTGAGTTAACTTGATGGAATCACGTACTACTCGAAAAAAAACTTCTATCGATATCCCTGATACCATATCCACCCGTACTCGAAGTCAATCTCGAACTAACTCAAATACACAAAATACTTCTACACAGAGCGCAGATAGTCAGAATATCATACAGAATATATACACTACGCAGAATATAAATAGTATTACACCACCACCATCCTCACAGAGTTCCGTCGTTGAGGCATCCGAGTTAATTGATAGTCAAAGCGTCGCCGTAACAAGGGGCAGAAGAAAGTCTACGTCTTCTTCTATAAGACAGGCTGAAGGATCGGTCGATACGATGTAAGTCGCAATTAGAGTTGGGAGAGAGAGCTTAAACCGAGAAGAATGCTTTGGATAAAAAGTGATCAGGTGGTTTATCAGTGAAACGGGTTAATGATATGTTAGTGCATTTGTAGTAGTTCTTAACTTTGAAGCATTGGTGTTCTCAATTGATTCTCAAAAAATTGACTTTAAACATTGACTATTGATCCGCAGTCTCGGTTACATTCTCACGCGTAATTCACATTCTAACGCTTTTCTATCGTTTCCGATCTCTATATTATCCTTTGCATCCGTTTCCCATACGTATCGTTCTACTTTTTTTCTTTCTATGATATATTGTTGATCATTCAGCTCAACTCCAACACCTTCAAGAAGATCATCCCGATCAGATAGATCTACTATTCGCTCACCAATCACTCTTACTCCAACCTCATCGTCTACTTCCTCCACTCGGAAAGGCAAAGCAAAATTAAACCAATCAACAACTACAACATCCCGCATTACTCGAAGTCAGGCACGAGAATCTGAGCATACAGCAGAAGAACCTGAAGAACCAAGAGATAAAGGGAAAAGAAAGAAGGAAGAGTACTTATCTGAAAGTTCCGAAGAAAGATCACCTGGCAAGAGTGTAACAAAAAGATCAAGACTAAGTAGAACTAATTTGAACAGAAAGGAGATAATTACCGATAGTGAAGAAAGAAGCAGCAGCACTAATACAAGATCGTCTAGTAGAACATCATCCCGCAAAGGAACTAATAGCAGTAATATTGGTAGTAATAGAACCGGAACAACTATGCCTAAGAAAACCAGGTGCGTAAACAAAGAAGGAAGCAGGAAATGGCGCAGTGCGAATAATTATGTCCTGGAAGAAAATATGCAACGGACAATCTGACACAGAATAGATAGATATACGCGATAGATATACTGTTATTCAGTGATGTGTATTAATGACATTGTACCCTCATGTTTTAGTAAATCGACATCTAAAGCAGCACCAGCAGCATCGCCCGAAGCAAGCAGCAGTGCGACACCTGCTGATACTCGTGAATCAAGGCCACGAAGACGCAGTTCTGATTCGAAATCAACGCCGCCCAAGACAGCAGAACTTGAGAATAATGCCATGGAAGGTTAGTCGTGATGAAATTATACAACAATCTGAAAAATGAAATCGTGATATGGGTCAATTCTCCTAATAACATTCTCCTTAATTTGTATAATACATGTATCCGAACTTACCTCGTTCGCTTCTCTAAAACCAGCTATTCCAACGCCTACGCCAGCAAGTCAAACACACACTGCCTCATCTTCTTCCACTTTAATACCAGCGACAACCGACGAACCAACCAATCCCTCAAACTCTCTTCAAACCTCTTCATCCGAGGACCACCAAGCAGAAGAAATTGATGATACATCTTCTGAAGATGCCTCTTCCCCATCCAATTCTCACCCTCGCCCCCACCGGCCTTTTTTCTCTGAATCCTCCTCGCACTTCTTATATTCCTTCCACATCCACTGCCTCTTCAGACCTAATTTCTCGCCTACGCGACCCCGAACAACAACTAATTGCTCTCCATAGTCTTTCAGAACGTATTGCTATGGCTCAAAGTGAGGACCAGATAACAAGTACTATGAACATCGACGCAGTTATTAGAGAATTGGTTGCAATATTGAGGAGAGAGGTGTCGGAGGAAGGTGCAAAAGGAAGTGAAATACCGATTTTTGTTTGCAGATGCTTGGCAAATTTGGTTGATTTATTCCAGAATTCGGCAGAAAGGGTTATTAGTGCGGGTGTTATACCGGTTTTGTGTTCTTGTTTGGTTATTGACCAAGAAGCGTTGGATTTTTATATTGATCTACCGGAGAGCGCGATTAATGTACGTTGTTAGAAAGGGGAAACAGTGTTGGAGAAATCAATACTTGAGCTTCGTTCACGGATTTGTGACTGTGATGTTTATAATTATAGTGGTGTTTCTAGATATTCTGTTCGAGATGCGTTGTGCTAACATTCTACCTTTAAACGCCACATTAATCAATTTTCTTTTATACCTTTATACTCCTTACTAAAACGAAAGGCCCTGCTAAAGCTCTCAACACGAAAATCATGTACATCTCAAATAGTTCGAGAAGGTGGTTTGTCCGCGCTTGCTCTTGTCAGTTTTCTTGGCTCTTCCGGCCGAGATTATATCAATCTATTGGCAAACTGTGCCGAGAACTTTCCCACCGATTGTTTCAACGTCGTAAGGGATAATATAATTCCAAATTTGAATGAGTTCCTGTGCTTCTCGGATCCTCGCGCGGTGGAACAAGCATGTTTGGCCGTTTCTAGACTTGTAGATAGTTTTAGACATAAGCGAGAGGAATTGGAGGTGAGTTTTTGGGCGTGAGGAGTATGTTCGTACATTTTAGGAAGGAGTTATTTAGGCACCGTGTTGAAATCTGTTAGGCAATCATATCTGACGGTGTCCTAAGAAAAATTATCGATTGCATTCGACCGAACAGCAACAACAGAATGAGGTATTTTTTACCATTTCTTAACCTTATTTATACTATTTCTTCCATCTCTAATCCCCTCGCTTTCTTTACTCCAGCTCATCGACAGTAGTTCATATATGGCGCATGCTAAGTATCGTGGCACACGAATCTCCAAAGATTGCCACCTCTCTTATAGACAATGAGATCAAATTAGACGGTGATGTCACATTCCTCGTCATCCTTTACGAAGCCCTCACTGGATCTAGTCCTAATGCTGTAGGGGTACAACTACAAGTGCCCAAGAACCAGAGTCAATTTAGAGAAATATTAGGAGTTATATCGGAGTTATTGCCCGCTTTGCCGACAAGTGAGTGTATTGAAAAGATTTGGTCAGTTGATTCGAATGATTAATCGTTAATTATTCCTTGTAGCTGGAGTGTTTGACATGAGCTTACCAAAAGAAGTAGCAGCTAGCACAACTGAAGACCAGAACCCGTCATCGTCAACAACACAACCCGCAACGGCTGATCCACAATCATTACCACAACAATCTTCTACTACCGAACTCGCCCAAACAGAAGCAATGGACATTGATAATGAAGATTCGGAGAACAGCGAGGAGGATGAGGAGGAAGAGGAAGAGGAGGAGGAAGAGGAGGAAGATGAAGAGGAAGAAGATTCTGACGAAGATATAAATTCACGCCACGACATTCCAATAAGTAACCCTTCCTCTCAATCGCCATCAGATGAACGAAATTCTATCGAACTTCATCTGCAATTACTCACATCGAAACGTGTTCGTATGCACGAGTTTGGCAAAACTTTTTTGCGGACTTTGATTAATGTTTACAATTCAACTGTTAACGCAACTATAAGATTAAGGATCGTTGTCGCTTTGGCAAAGATGGTGCATTACTTTGATGAAGAAGTATTAAATGATATTTTGCAGGTTTGAGAAATTGGGTCTAAAAGTTGTTTGTTTCTAAAACAAATGTTTCGTCGTCATGCAATTTGTTGTTTACCCGTACGTTTAATAATAGAACGTCAGCTTTGCTGTATTCTTAAGTGGAATCTTACAAGAACAACAAGAAGCAACTTTAGTTATAAAAGCTCTCCAACTTGCAGAACTGCTGATGCAAAAACTACCCGCTCATTACGAGAAGCAATTTTTCCGTGAAGGTGTCATGCATGAAATTGCGAAACTAGCTGATACACCAGAAAGCGCAGGTAAACAGTCCAGCAGATCAGACATATCACAAGTAGGTTTCTTTCTTAAATTCAGGGCGTATCCGCGCAAATATTCTAGGTGATTTATTAAATATGAACTAGTAAAGAATAACGCAAGGTGTTGCTGCGAAATCAGTACAAAGTGTGATAATTCAGTAGTTACGGTGAACGTCCATCCGACTTCTCTCATTCATTGTCCATTCTTTTTTCTTTTTTTTTTTTTTCGTGGCCTTACGTCGTAGACATTCCCTGCCTTACATTCCCGCCGACTCGCTTCCTCCAGAACCTCTACCGAGCGTGGTCTTGGGTCACGGGATTCCCGAGCATGGATAATCCATCGTGCACGCTCTTTTCGTGAAGGTTACATTAAAGATAACAAGGACTTTAGTCATCTAATTAATGATCTAAAGGCATATGCTGCCGCTTTAAAAGGCACAAAAGAGGAACCGACAGCTGGGAGTACGCTGAAAAAAATTGCAACGTTGTTTTCGGATTCAGCAAGTAGTATTTCGTCATTTGAGCTTGTGAATAGTGGGCTTATGGAAGGGCTGTTGGAATATCTAACTTCGACACATGAAAACGGTATGATGCTCCCGATTTATAACGGCATAATTGATCTTGCTTTCTAACAGCTAATCTGCCTGAGTAAGTTGTTAAAATAATTCCTTATTTAACTCCTCATCTGAATACAAATTCACAGAACTAAGTTCTGTCAACGACCGCCGACGAACATTTTTACACATTTTTCTCGGAGGAATGGACCCAAAAAAGGGTTTGGCCATTCTTCTTGATCCCGATTTCCAGCATGAACGATCTCCTGTTTGCCTGGCTCATCATATTACTACGGGGTCGATAGGAGCATTTGAACTGTTGGTGAAGCGACTACAAGAAAGTTTGAATCGGTCAGAGCGGTTTGAGGTTACTACTGCCTTTCAAACCATGAGTAGTGAGTATTAAATCTTGAAACCAAATCATTGTCATTGATTTTACACAGTCATTAGAATTAGGATTTTTTTCCCCATTATCAATTGATACTTATTATTACTTATTTAGTTTGCTAGAATTGTATCATGATCATTATTGGTTTTTCCGTATTAACATCTTTTCACCTTTTCTCCCACACGCTAGTCGACCTAATACGAAATCCGACAGGAATACTGGCGAAGCATCTTAAATTGAGATTAATTTCACGTATGCTTTCACTATGACAAGTGATCATTTTTATCTGCGGGATTGATAATTGCTGACACAATATGTGACTTTATTATTCAGTTGATAATGAGAACGCGCGAAAAATATCAATACAATCACTAGTTCCATTTAAGGCTATTGAAGAATGGCTTATGTGGAGGATTGATGCGGCGAGGAACAGAGCACAGGAAAACACAAGTGTGAACGCTGGTGCTAGTGCAACCGTAGGTGCTGGGGCAAGTAATGGTAATGACAATGCTTCTAGCGGAAGCACACTTGCAAGAAGCAATAATACTACAACACGTGAAGCTACATCAATAGAGGCTGGAAGTTCCATCAATACTGTATCAGTCGCGGAACAGCTTGTCGCAGACATTCTCGCATCTTCGGTATCAAGTCGACATCGACCCGGTCGTGAAATTAACACCAGCGGAAATCAGGTTCCACCTAACCTTGGGTATGTGGTATTTATCCCATTTCATTCTCATTAAAAAAGAAAAGTCCTTTTGTCATTAGTGATAATTACGCGCAATAGATCAACCGAGACAAGAGATCTTGATACGATGGATGTCGATGATGACGATGACGAAGACGAGGACGACGAGAACGATAGTATGAGATCCAGAGATGATACTCCGTTTAATGAAGATATAGAGTTTGCTTATCTTCGACGAGATGTTGACTCGGATCATGATGATATGCATGATATGAATGACAGTGTTGAAGGTGACAGAACCGTAATAGTAATTGTCAGTTGGATGCACAAATTATATTTATACCTTCTGCGTTTTAATTTACAAACATTCACCTTTACACTATATCAGATCCATTACCAACAACAACTTCAAGACCATCATCGGGGGTATCATCAACCTCAACAAATCAACGACATCGCTACTCTACCTATCCTGGTTGGCAAAAACCCAAAGACTGGCACATAGAATTTTACATTGATGGTACACGAATCAATCCCAACACCCGCGTATATGCGGCTATTCATCGACATCGACAGCGCACTCTAGTAGAAACTCGCTTTTGGGAAACAACTCACGAAATCAAATACCGTCGGGTAGAGGGTCCTCCTTCTATGGAAGAAGAGAAGCCCGAACCTCTCAACCCAAATGATGTCAATACGAAATTACTAAACCTCCTTCGAGCTCTATTCGAACTAAATGAGAAATGGGACGAGATATATACCGAAGGAAATCTGATAATTGCAAAGACAGAACGAATGTCGGTAACTGATTTTATTAATCACAAACTTACAGCAAAATTTGAACGGCAAATGGAAGAACCGTTGATCGTGGCATCTAAGGCATTACCGTCATGGTGTTTTAACCTTGCAAGGGAATATCCGTTCTTGTTTCCGTTTGAAACGCGACATACATTTTTGCAGAGTACATCGTTTGGGTTTACGAGGATGTGGAATAGGTGGCATGCTCATAATAATCGGGGACATGGGCATCAAGAGCAGCGACGGGAAGAGATAGGGAGTAGATTGAGAATAAAGACACGAATAACAAGAGCAAATATGTTACAAACTGCATTTGAAGTGATGAAGAGGTTTGGTACTAAGGATTCTGTGTTGGAGGTTGAGTATTACGACGAAATAGGGAGTGGATTGGTGAGTAAATGATTTTGGTTGGAACTTTATATGCCATTATACTCTTTACTTACACCATTGATATGATAGGGTCCTACACTTGAATTTTACTCTACTATATCAAAGGAGCTCTGTAAAAAGTCTTTAAGAATGTGGAGAATCTACTCTGATGATGGCGATATCTATGTTAATTCGCCAACAGGACTATACGCAATGCCAATGAGTCCGGAATTGACCGGTAGTGAGAATGGAAAAAAGATAATTAATCTATTTAAGTTCGCTGGTCAATTTGTAGCAAAAGCGATGGTAGACTCAAGGATCATAGACATACCCTTTAATCCTATACTTTTGAAGAAAGTACTTGGAGAAAGAGTCCCACATACGTTAAGGACAATAAGGGTAGGGTGTATTCTAAATCGAAATATAATGACGATGTACAAGAATCCATTACTCACCGAATGCATCCGACATTTACTAAAATTCTGCAATAGCAAATCGACGAATATTGGAGTAATTCACTGAGCAGTCTGAAATCCTCGAAAGGCTGGGGAACAAATTCGCTTGGCTTACAATTCACACTGCCCGGATGTGATAATTTTGAACTAAAACCAAACGGCTCTAATATTGAAGTCACTCCGCAAAGTATCCAACAATACACCGATGCCGTCATATCGGCTGTGTTGGATACCGGTGTCGAGAAACAGGTGCAGGCATTCAGGGAAGGGTTTAATCAAGTGTTTCCGATTGACGATTTGAAAATATTTAGTACAAGTGAATTGGTTGCATTGTTTGGCAACGAAGAAGAAGATTGGTCAATAGAAAGTAAGTGAAAGGGGAATGTGGAGGGAGCCATTACTATTTGAATGTCTCATCAAATCCATGCATCATATTGCGTTCGTAGCTATGAGAGACAGTTTCAACGCGGACCATGGATACAGTATGAACAGCCCGGCTATCAAGAATCTACTCGAGATACTGTCTGGGTTCAATATAGAGGAACGTAGATTATTTTTGCAATTTGTCACAGGTAGTCCAAGACTACCGATCGGAGGTAAGTTCTTGTGTATTAAACTGTCTATTGCAGATGTAATTTACTTGATGAACTGTTATCCCACTCAACACATCCTTCTTCAATAATAGGATTTAAGAACATGAGACCTGTGTTAACGATTGTATGCAGAGGCAGTGATCAGAATTCACCTGATGAATCCTTACCATCGGTCATGACGTGTCAGAATTATCTCAAATTACCTGACTATCCAACAAAAGAAATTATGCGTGAAAAGCTATGTTACGCAATGAGAGAAGGGCAGGGAAGTTTCCATTTGTCGTAGATGGATTTGTATATGAATTAGGAACAAAATAGCTATAAAATTAAATCCGGTTTTCTGTATCTTGTTTTTACATGTTTGAAAAATAAAAATAATAAATCATCTATAAATGTGCGAATCTTTTATTTTTGCTGAACAACGTTTCAATTATCAATATTTCTACGTTACCTCAAATTATCTCCGTGCACAGCATTTCCGTGCACTCGAATTCTATATATGCAAGTGTAATGAGGATTACCCCAATTACTATTCACCTTCAATAACACAGCTATAATAGGTCTATTTAATTTCTCTGGCAACTCATATGTTTGTACTGATCCTCCATTAATATCATATACGAATCTGCCGAGAAAGACTTGTGTTGGGGAAGAGCCCAACTTGAAAGTCCCACTACCAATAATATTTGTGATGGTAGGATCGTTTGGATCGACATAAGCTTCATCAGCAAAATTGTTGCGTAGTTCAAAATTAACTATATCTAAGTAAGGTTCATGGTGATTATTAGGAGCACAATTATCGCGATGCCCAACAAATCCCCACACTTCGAATTCCTTAGGGGCTGGACTTAGGTCGAGGGCTGCTCTCTTCGACGCGTGATCATATGTCACTGCTGTTGGATACATGGGTTGTGATAATAATATTCCCAACTGCCCTTTATGGCCAGAGAATGGCCAACATTGACCGACGTGAATAGAAGGCATAATGGCAGTCACTACGCGTGAAACAGACAAAGCAAGTTAGAAATAGGTTAGACATCATTATTAACCAGATTTAACCAAACGTTCACCACACCTGGAGGTTTGCCCTGGAGCGTGCCATAATTCGACCAATATGCAACCTGTTTCTCCCACCAACTGTCAGGATACTGAATGTATGTTCGCGATGTCAATTGCCCTATGATCTTAGCTCCAGCAGAGCGAAGAGCGTAGTCAGTCCTATCAACAACATCATCTGAAAAAAGTTGAAGGCGCTCTTTAATGGCTGCTCTAGTCTCTTCCTTAATGATAGACGCTATCATATCGCGTTGTCTATCTGATGATTCTAAATAGAAAGGTCCATGTGAATCGCCACCATGAATTCCATCATTACTATCTATGAAATGAGTTCGTACTTCAGTGGCGACCAAAGCACGGATAATGGCTCTAAGTCGATTTCCTTTGAGATCGTCTTCATTCCTGATGATTATTTGTTTCGTCACTGCAGTTATAATTGCTTGAGATACATCATCGGTATCCCCCTTACAGTCGTTTCCTAGTGCCATTAACCGGATTTGTATCGCAAAACGGTCTTGCAAATGGCAGACTGCAAGATTAGCATTTTTCCATGCATATGCTCGAAACGTTGGTATATAGAATAGAACCGCCAAAAATAATAATAATACTGATACTGTCATCCTCGTGCGAATAGATGTCTGACGATTATATACCCAAAATCTTATTAATAATATTCTATTAAAAATAGCATAGGCAGAAGTTAATGCTTGCAAAATCAATTTCCAGAAAAGACTCATAATCCATAGAACATATTCACACGTCAGTCCAACAGTCCACACGATATTACGCGTAAGACAGGAAAACACAGATATAGTCCGATTTACCAACCGATTAAAAATCATTGGCACGGATCCTACAACTTTCTGCTCTGTCTGTTGTGTTGTCTCTAATATAGAGTCTTGCAAATCATTCGTTGACGTCGAATATTGAGAGTCAGAATGGACTAAGAAACTGTGAAAGTTGTTGGTCATTTCTGATTGGATTGAATTATTCAGTACCGTGTTCGAGGGAGGATCGAACATATCAGAAGGAGAACCGTCAGAACCGATAGAATTCAACGAAGCAGTTGATATAGTCGAACTTTCTGCGCTTAATGTTGGAACACCGTCAAAACTGGAAGTCGAACCAGATGGGGTACTACCGCTCTCGCTTCCACTCCTCTCTCCACTCCTATCGGATGACATATTTACCAATTCTCCATTCGAGCTAAGATCAGAGTCAGAAGAAACAATGGTTGGCGGGTTATACTGATTGTCGTGAACAATACGCGTCGGATCGCTGATAGTCCGTTGTAGTTGTCCAATTGACAATTTGGACTCGCTCCTGTCATACGCGCTACTACTCTCTGCATTTCCACATTGCGGCTGAGCAGACGAGAATTTTTGGCGTCCATTTTGAGTATTAGTTTTTGTGTTACTCCCTTGAATATGAGATTTGGTGAATGTATCAGTGAGAATTTGCCATGTGTTGTCGAAGACGATATCACAGCGTCGATAAACCTCTCATGAGGAACTTTACCTCCGTCACTATTACCACTACCACCACGCGTCGAAGTATGAGAGCTTTCGTCCATACGTTCTGATACGTCAATCTGACCAGGTGGTTTTCTTGCTGCCGGGCGTATTGTTCGCATTTTTTCTATTCAACTTATGGTCAATGCGTGTCTGCACGGGACAATAAATAACAACATCGAGGGCGTGAAGCGTGTTTTGATTGTTTTGTATTGTGTTCTGTGATTGGTGGAATTTGGCGGGAAGCGTTAAGAATGCAGTTGATTGTCAAACGTTGGGAAAAGGAATAGATTAATTAATATCAAGAACAATGCTGGGAGAAAGCAGAAAAAAACTTCCATAACGTAATGGTTTAACCAATTATTATTATTATTATGGTCTAAAAATGACTGACAAGCGAAGATTACAATGAACCAAACAATTACTTTTTAGGAAGTTTACATTTGCGGCGCAAGAGTCCAGACAGTTGTATAGTGATTCGTTATTGTATTAATTATCAGCACTGATGCAGTTACTGGAAGATTTAACCCGCTAGTTTATGAAAGACCATAAAAGCATCCATCAAAAGCCGTCTCGAACATACAAGAGAACTAGATGTTTCACATGAAAATGTAATAAACCTGCCAAAAATGGTTAACCAATTAGATAATTGAACATACAACGGTTTTTTGACGTAAAAGCAATGTCTACTTGTCCATTGTGATCGACCCTGCCGCTACAAAACTCATGGTTTTCGTCAACGAAGCGACCTCCGACGAGCACGAACTTTCTCAAGATATCCTTGCAATCAAGCAAGGAAGAAGAGTCGCCAGACGAGAACCCCAAACAAGGAAAAAAGCGCAAGATCAGGACAACAGCAGCACGCAACAAATGACAACACTTGGAAGCTCTCCATCGTCAAAGTATATCCAAATCACCTTCAAAAGCAGCCGTTGAAACGGTGGATGGGCTTGGATAAAATCTCAACCTATTGAAGATAAGCTTAAGCTTTACGCGGATGTTCGTGTAGGAAAAGACGTTAATGAACGTGAAGACAAGAGACTTCAAAGATCATGCGTATGGGGTGAACGCAAATTCGTGCGAACTGTCGTGCGTATTGGAATGCTGCTTCAAGGTACCATGGCAAACATTATCGATGAGGCGATTGATGAAGCATTAACTGCTAGGTATGATTGTTATTTTTTTTATTTATTTTTATTAGGGACAAGATAATAGTAGTAGGAATCAGCAAAGTTCGTCTTTGACCCGAAAAGATTTGCGACAAAAATCCACGTGGAACCGTTTCTATATCATCATAATAATAATGCTTTCCGCATTCCGTTATCATTCTGGACGACAAACGCGATTTGTGGCCGCTTCATTCGAAAAAAAAAAATAAGTGGCCTGTTCCTCACAGAATAACGTCTGATTGCAAGATCACCTACAGTAGGATGCAAAAGTATCCCCACTTCTAATTCGGGACACAAATGAGTAAACGCTTTGAAAGTTTCCCTGTATATAGTGTATAATAAACCTGATCACTTGTAAAATTTCAGCTTGATCGGATGTCTCCAGTAAAAATTTACAAACATCCAATATTTGCCTCTAAA